CCCCCCAACCTGCAGACCACGCCATGCTGCAGGTTGCATGTGTGAATGATGGCGCAGCTTTCAAACTCGCGTCTTTGTTGCTGGGTCGCCGGGCATGAGCCACCGCACCGGCTGTTAGGCACCCAGCCCCAGCATGCTGCCATAGCTGCCAAATCCTGCATGCTGCCATAGCTTGCCACACCCCGCACACCGCAGTAGCTGCCATGCACCCACTCATTGAGCACCGCCCATTTGCTTGTCACGCGTCATGTGCCGCCCACAGCTTGTCACATGTTCCATGTCGCCCATCGCATGCCACATGCTCCAACCAATCCATTCCTGGATCCTTAACCAACGCTCGGCGATGGGCTCATAACCTGCGGTTCGTGAACCCCTGCCCACCCATACCACCAAGCATAGTCACTTCCAGACTACCTCTTGTGGCATGACGCGTGCACCTTAAGGGCTGTGCACATCATCCTTCACAGTTTCCATACACCCGATCGAGGCGCCCATATGTGTTCACTCTCGGCGGGGGCCGGTCGCCTCGATTCGCTCGATTCGCTCGGAATGGTCTGTTCGTCAAGGCAGCACGGTGTCCCCATCGACTCCAAGGCACCACGGTATCGATCCACCGAGGTCTATTCACTCGGCGCCGCGCCCTCAGCGCTCCAGAAGCGGTGCGGTTCGGACCACGGAAGAGACAAGCACGGTGCGTTCGCCAAGTCCCTGGTGTTGCTGATCGTGGCCATTTGGCGCTTGTGCCTGGGCATTGAAACCGATGCAAGGATTCATGAATATGATATGCCAGCAGTCACAAAGGGGTGCCTATTGGATCCTATTGGAGGATAGGGGTGCCCAGAACATCCACTCAATGGATGGAACTAAAAACCACCCCGTCTTGTGACTCCTGGTGCGTCAATTTGGTACTTCATCTTGCCAGTCCGAGAGGACGAGAATGACGAGGTGTGGTCAGCAGAGTCAGTGGCATCGGCCGTATACTTAGGATCTACGCCTTCACATCCGTGCCGTTGTGCTGCCCCTAGCTGCAGACCGGACGGCAGAGCCATGCATGCGCCTGGATTCAATCCGGAAACGAAGGCAGAGCCCAAGTGGTGACAGAAATACCGGACAGTCCGATCAACATCGTTCGGTGGATGGCGATCGGATTCCAGAGGACCGGTTGCCGGAGAGGGATTAAGAACCCCCATCATAGAAACCCTACAGGTCCAAATATCCTGTAACACCTGGTCCCTTTATAATTGAGTAGCGTTTTGCACGACCAACTTCAATAAATAAAAAGACGCATCAATCTTGAACCGGTATAACCCAGTAAATATCCAGTAAAACCCAGGCTCCGACCTCTTTTTTCTGGTTCCGAGATTGGACGCTGCGGTGGACCAGCAGATCACCGAGTGGTGCCTCCCCGAGAACAGGCCCGTCCGCGTCCATGGTCCGAACACACAGCGCCTGCACACTTTGATTTTGCACTTTTTTGATCGGTCGTTCAACATACCTTTATTGAGGTCGGTGAACCACTCTGAAGAAGTTCCAGGTATGCGTGGTGTTACATTATGATACATTATGTTCATTTTCCGGTTCCTGGATGACCCCTGGGAAGATGCGTCTCTTTTTCCTGGTTCCTGGCAAATCCAAGAAAACCATACTCAAAACCAACTGGTGGAAAGCTTGGTTCACCATTATCCAGGGAAGCTGCGGAAGTCAGTCATGGTCATCATTGGGCATCCCTTGTTGTACAGAGGACGAGATGTCAACGGACAATGGCCATGTGGCCATTTTCGTTCCCCCAAATGATTTGATGCATTTTGCCTAGCAATCTCAGCGCTAAATATCAACCATACCCTACAAGTCCAAGGACCAAGTTAAACCTGGTCCTTGACCTCATTGAGTACTGGTTTTGCATGACCAGACCCAGTCAAATGATGTCATTGACCTGCAGGCATACCAAGGGTCTCAAACTCTGGTGATCCAGCCAATGGCCAGGTTTGGCCTGAGTAACCATGCCTACAGACTGATTCACCAACACTCACTGACCTTTCCCACCCAAACGCCACCCTGGACCCGAATCCTGTGGAGGGTTTGGGGTCTCAAATCCTTTGGAAGGACCGAGCTGTTTGGCGTTTGGCTAACTTTTTCTACAGAAAACATAGGAGCGCTGTCATATGCATTGCATTCCCCCAGAGCTTCTTGTTATTATTGTTGCTAGCATGTTTTGGAAGATGTTTCCTAGTGTTGCCTGGCTCGGCGAGGAAGTTGTACTATTCCAAGTTGGAATGTCCTGTGAGCCGCTCGGGCTGCGTTTATCATCTCCAAGCCCATCCAAACCGAGGATGTGCGATTATTACCATCCATGACCATCCATGACCATCCATGGCTTAGACGCCTGCATGGGACTGGAATAGCCTGTGCCTAAGACTCCCTATGACCCAGACATTCCAAGACCACCCCGTGAATCCTGCAAAAGATCGGCCGTCCCACACCGTGAAGATGTGCGAGGGGTCCAGTCACCGATCCCCTGTAAACATCGTATGGGACATCCGGCCGCAATCTATGTGGTATCCACTCCCTAGGGATCCAGTTGTACCTTCTGAGCATGGCACCTACCTACTAGTGTTTCGAGTCACCTTCTGAGGAGGTATGACTGGATCGCTAGGACTGTACCTGTCTGACCAAGACTGTGTAGGCCAGAGTGTGGTCTATACAACTGTCCATAGAAAATATGATATGTAAGAACATGCAACAACATGCAACAACATACAACAATACACATATAATAACTATTCAATATTATTCACAAACATACAGGCACCAAAGGACCCAACCCTTCGTTCAGTCAAGTTGTAAACGAGCACCTCAAGCAATCATCACCCAACGAAGTTTTCCAAACATCCGGTTCTTCCATCAGAACCTGAGAAAGCCACGCATGTGCATGCATGTGCAAACCGGGCTTACAGGATCTCCTCCTCTTTACCCATGCACGCTTGTACTTCCCCCATCCTTGCGAGGGCGGAAGTACATCGTCTTGCCCAAAGACAGTCCCGAATGTGGGCCGGACCGCCCTTTCTGCAGTCGAGTGTTGTCGCCCATTCCGCGGTGTCAAGCCCATTCAGCCTTGCTGGGATCTATGGGTCAGTGACAAGTGATATAGGTGCTGATGGGAGTGGCAAGAAACTCAATGATAGAGGGATTGAGCGAATGGATTTATATAGGATTGTGTATAAATATCTACAAAGTACAAATAGGCATTTTGGCACTGGTCTCTAATCTTTTGAATGTTGGTGACGATTGTGAACACATCAGAAGATTGGTGAGATGTATTCCATACCCCAGACACTCCCTGACATTGGAATAATATGCTATATATATAGTTATACTTATAGTGATATGTCATACTTTATATATACCTACATCTTCCTCCCCTGCACTTTTTTAGACCCTGAACAAAAACATTGAAATTTAAGACCCTCAAGTCAGAATCAGACCCTTAACAAAATTTCTGCCCCTGGCAGTTTCTGGAAATGACACATTCAGCCAAATGTTCCAGCAAACCTTGCCTGTAAGGATGTTTGTAAGATGTATCTCTTAAGTGACAAGGCGGTGGTTCAGCGGCATTCCAACCTTAAAGTACTCCAGTTGTTTGGTTTCCATCATGATGATATGGCTGCCCACCAACAGTAGATCAACAAGAATCAAGATAATACAACAATATCCTTGCAAACCTTTGAGTGCCACTTAATTAACCAATGGAGGTGCTTCAACTTCAGTCAGTCCAGAAAAGTCCATCCATCCCATGCTTTGTTTTCACTCAACCTGATCGAAAGCACGTTTGCGCTTCAAGCGATCTAGCTCCAACTTCCCCTTCACCTTGTACGCATGAAGGGTATTCTCCACCACATGCCTGTGCCCCACCCGGCGACTTTGTCGTGCAACTCGACCAACAAAGTCTTCACTCATAGAGCAGTCCCACAATGCTGGGTTGCAGCGGAACCTGTCCTTTGAGCAGATTTGTAGGCGATGGTAAATGTGCGCAGTACCATGAACCTTTGGGACCATCGAAAACAATGTGAGTCCACGGTCCAAACTGTGTTTGGCCAGCCTAGCGTAGGCATGTAAGAAACCACGACAATTTGCTTCCAATGTCCTCCCACAGCTTCTTTGAAGCCAGATTCCATGTCTGTGAATGGATTGAAAATCCAGACCTGCTTTGCAAGCATTGTTCACCAGGATCAACGACTGTGTCCTAGCAGAGTGAACCAGCTGTAAGCTTGTGAACCATTCTAACCATCGTAGCAAATACATCGAGTCGGAGCCCTTGCAGCCAACCCACGGGAATGATGAAGCAGTTGGATAATGCAGCTTCTCTTTTGTGAACCCGCGAATCCCTGAGGGGCTCACCCGAGCAGTATCGCACCAGAGGTGGAACGATGCCCATGCGCGTCCAAGTCTTGCATCGACCGCTCTTGACTCCCCCACATCATTGTAATCGAACATGCAGTCAAAACAAAGTAGAAATACAGCTGAGGCTATAAAGTTTCTTGCTATTCCCAGACGGAATAGATGAAACGTATCCAAGAGGAACCATCTGGCAGCCAAGCCTGTAGACCAATCTTCAAACACAATATGGTGGAACGGCGGCATTGAGGACCAGGGAGCTGAGTGGTACACCGTTCCTTTCCATGCAGCAGAGCTTGTAAGGTCTTCAAAAGGATGAAGCGGACCACCAGCAGCACACAAGTGACAGCACGGGATGAAGTTTCTATGTCCAACATTTTGATATGATCTGCTCAACAGTCCGGTCTTTGCATGATACTCAAGATCACCAACCATCCCCAAGAATCCAAAGTGATAGACACAACCATTGTGCATAATACCATCTGCAGTCAGTGGCCCAAGATCTTCTGAGATGGTTTCCAAAACAGATAGTAAAAGCCCTGGAAGTTTTTTGTACTTCTTGGAAGGAAAAGCACAGAGCAAAAAGTGCGTCAAGTAGGAATGGTGACGGCAGTTGAGCCGCTGCGAGAAAGGATGTGTGGGATCCCCCGACACATACTCGACCTCACCAGAACAACATTTGCACTTGAATTTATCTCCAGTCTTTCCTGTGTCTAGTCCAAGGATTGGATGTAGAGAAATCACTTCCAATGGCTGCTTCTTCAATGTACGAGCTCCATCACCATGAATCACCAGAGGTATTGTAAAACTCAAATCCACAACACCTTGGTCTGCCAACTGAAAAATCTGATGAGTTGGGTGTTCCACTCGGTACAACTTCCAGAAGGTTTTGAACAAAGTTTGCACTTGTGGCCCAGGATTGAATCCACCCATCAAGACAGATGGGTAGGCAGAGAGGAGGTAGCGAAGCACATCACTTCCCTTCAAAAAAGGCAGATCAACACAAGACCCGTTCTCTTCAAAGTAATGGTAAGAGTTCGGAACTTTCCTTGGCACGCCAGCAAACAAAAACTGTCATCTCAAACCCTTGATGCATCTCAAGCCCAACAAGAAAGCATTCCTGAAACACAAGCTAGCATCATCTCAAATCCAAAGCGCTTGGTGGCCCTTTTGTATTGTCGGGCAGCATTGGTCTTGCTGCGGCCAAGGGTTGAAACCGTGGACGGATGCAAAGCTGAAGCAGGGTCACACCGGAGTTCTGATTGCAAAGCTACACCATGCTCCTGAAGAGTGGAAGCTGTTGCCTCGGCACTCTTGGAAACGAGTTTCTTCATCAAACAAATCCTCTACTTTCCCCATATTATATAACAGCATCCTACCTTCACCAAGCACAGCCAAAATACACCATCAGCAATCTTCTCTATCACATGTTCCAGAAGGGGCCCCGCTGGTTCACAATCAGTGGAACCTGGCAACACGTGCAAAAGAGACAGTCGAGTCAAGATTGTTTTATCATTAGTCCAGCATGCTCCTACCTGTCCATGCACAGACCATTGTCAAGCATTCATTTGTTGTGCCAGGGTGAATGCAGAAGCGCATCTTTGCCCTTGCCCAGCACCAGTTGCTCGAAAAACGACTGGCTAAGTTGACAGCAAATCCACTTAATTTCGATCCAGATCATTTCATTCTGGATTCAGCAAGGTCATCCCTGCCAAAAGCATAACCCCAAAATACAATCACGGAAGCTCGCCTTGCTCACAAACAAAGCTGTTTTCCAAGCATCAAACCTGTAAGCTAAAAACATCCTTTTGAAGACATGAAGCAAAGCACCCTTCCTGTCTCCCCAGACACTACCACCCAAGAAAGCTTGTTTTCGCTACTTGGGTTCCTTCTTTACTACCTTCACTTTAGCGGCTCGCTTTGGAGCAGGCGTGTTGCCTGCCTCCCTTTTCTCAACCTCCCTCATTGCCCTTTTTTCCTGGGCCTTCATGTGGCTGATAAAGGGCCTCCAAGCAAATGGAGACTCAATATGAACCTGCAAGATCATACAATATTACATATAATATATACCTGTGCTATGTTTGGGATCTGTAGGAAAGGCTGAGGGCTTGGACTGTGCACGAGTCGACAAGTTCAAGGCCAGACCACACCTGAGAACAGTGAAACAGCGAAGAGGTGACTGGAGTATACACCCTGGATCCAATTGCATGATCAAACATCACCCAAACTCTGCGTCCATCATTTGCACGAAAAGTATTGTATATTTCAAGCTCACAGCCGAGTCAAAGGTCAAAGGCACGTGTGAAAAGAAAAGGACACATGCACGCATGCACTAAGAATTCAGTGCTAACCAACACGTTTAAGTTGATCAGCCCTGCCACCTGCAACATAATTGAAATAAGGAGGGCCTGCATGAACTTTGCGGTTCAGTGCCCCCTCCCCTCCTGTGCCAACCTCATTGCGACACCCTGATGCATGGGAAAACAAAGCTATCAATGCAGCTTCAAGCATGTGAGTTAAGGCCACATCATCACTCATGTAGATTATCCACATTTCTTCAAAATTCTTAGACAAGTATGTCTGAAACCTTTGCGCAGGATGCGCTGTGACCCCAAGCTTGAAAACAGCCACACTTATTCCAATGCGCTCTCGGAATGCATCCACTTTTCGCTTGGCATGTGCCAAAATCTTCCCGCATGTCGGCTGAGAAGGTTGAGCCTTTGGTAGACGGTTGAAGATCAAGCAGCTTCGAAGAACTTCCCAGGGAACTGGAGACATCGTTGGGAACGACTTGCAAACTTCTTCTAGATGAAATTGTAGTTCACGGCGCTTCGAATCCTTTCATTCTCACAACAACAATCTTTTGAAAGAGGGAGAATAAGCAGGAAACGACAACAGCACTAGAAAATTGCTATCTTTCCAGGACATGAGTCATTCAGAGGCGCATCTACTGCTGGTAGACTGCACTGCACACAACGCCGTTTGGCTGACTTGTCTTTTTGTTCTCCTTGTTCAACTAGCATGCCACAAGCCATCCTTGTATTTCAGGTTTGCATGGCAAGGCAAGAACAAACATGGGAGGCACATAGACTGCACGGAATTATAAGAACAACATCTACTTATAGAGGTATATATAAAGGACACTCTTCCACCTCACTAAAATACAAGAACAAAACGCATGAGTACCATCATCAACTGAGAATCTTCCAGCTTGGATCCATATCTGGACTTTGCCCAAGACTTGCTTGGATTGCGCATCTCTTCTTGCCAGTGTACGGGTCTGTATATGTCAAGAGGTCGATTAGAAAGTCGTCCATTGCACGCACAAATGGAGATTGTCCCTAAATGTTGCACACTTTTTCTCAACCAATGTGCTTTGCATTCGTGTTCTTAATCATTTCACTCTTGCAGGTGTGTTTCTATGCTTCTGATTAACCATGTGACCCATAAGTGTGTACTAAAAATAGATCACCTGACAGATGCACTTCTGGACACGCACATCAATGCAAGAAAAGGACCAGCAATGCTCAGAGAAGTGAATACATTTGCAATTTGACAGGGCACTTCTCTTTGGATGCAGTGAAGAGTTTCTTGAGCTCATCCTGTTGCCTAAGAGAGGGAAGAAAAAACATGAATGATGAATCACTCTGTTTACAATAC